GCCGATCGATCGGCCACCGATCATAATCGTCCGATTTCCGTGAAAAGGTGTATGATTGGTGATCGCCGATCACCTGCATCTCAGACTTTGTGCCCTGCAGCTGCCAGCGTTTCTCCTGCGTGCTGCAGCAGCAGATCCTAAGCGATGCCCAGAGTGAATAGGAACGTTTGCGTGTGGCGACAGAAAAACACCTCGGAGGTGAAGCTCGTCAAAATGCATCAACACAACTAATCTAATATGACATTTAAAAAGCAAACACTTGACGGAGGGTTGTAAGTTATCGAGGTTCATTGCAGGAAAAAGACACCCAGAGCGATCAGACAGCAGGTAAAGCAGCGCACAGCTACCAACACTCACCTGGAAGAGCACGATGGTTAGACACCTAATAACCCGAAAATAATCTTACTCATCAAGCTGGATGGCTCTGCTCTCGCTGTTGGACCGCCGCCACTCGGCGCTCCACCTGACGGTGAACTCTCACACCGAACGTCTGCCTAAAGCTGCAGGATGTAACTTTAAAAAGTTCTTATATATGTATTAAAACGTTCGCTGTCCTGGCATGAGAGATAATCTGTGAAAAAAAATTTAAATAAAAGATGTAGCTGCTCTCCAGATGTTCTGTATAATTACACTGCTCGGTCAGAAAGCAGCTAGCCATGCTATGCTATCAGGCAGGTAGATCTAGTAACAGGGTAAATTGTTTTAATGCAACTTGCATTTGACTTTGAATGAATGTTTCATTTTTTACTTGACATTATTTGATACAGCAGTGAGATGTATTTGACTTTATGTCTAATTTAGGCTTTGAGAGCCTTACTGTTAAATATTTTATTACAGGTTTTTCTGCTGTCTTTTTGACTGAATACTTTATGCATAGGCCTGCAGGTATTTTATGTTTTTGTCTAAAGTAGGCGATTTCATGGTTCCGTTTTGCCAGATCTCATAGCAGCATTCATACCTAAAGAGAAACATTAACAGCCGATCAACGTGATTGGTATCGGCAGGAAAAAACCTGATCGGAGCATCCAGAGGTTCTGACCTTCCGGATTCGGAACGGTTCCGGCGGTTCTGATGGAAAACTTTTCACTTCCATCAGGATCTTCGCTCTCAGCAGGTGTCATTGCTCCATTACGATTTTTAGCTTAAAGTTGATTTCTACGCGAGTTTATGGTAGCAATGGCCACTGCCATCTGTGGATGGACCATCATGGAACCAGAACCCCTGGTGGGTCGGTAACAGAACGCCTCGCAGCCAAGGTTCTCCAGGACCAGCAGGCAGGTTTGGTGGTGACAGAACCGGCCGCGGTCCGGTCGCTTCCTACCTGGGAGACAGGCCGCCGTGGGAGCAGTTGGTGGGGGAAGTGAGCGGGCTGGACCTGCTGGGGGCGTGGCGCGGCGCCGTCCGGCCCATCGTGTTGCTGGGAGACCCCTGGAGAACAGAAGCAGAAGCTGAGCTTGAATAGGCCTGGACCGGGTTTGGAGGTTCTGGAGGGACTCACCACGCCGCTGCTGCTGTTGCTGGAGTTCTTGAGGTGGCTGTGCAGCAGCTTGGTGGCGCCGTCCTGGAAGGTCTTGGGCAGCGCGCCCAGCAGCATGGTGAACTCCGGCGTGTTCAGCTCAAACAGCGCGATCAGAACCACCTGGGCCGCCTGCACACAGAACCAGAACCGCTTACTGATCCCCGGTCAGCAGAACCAAACCTGCAGAGGAACCTCCGTCAGAACCAGAACCTGGCACATTCCTTGGATCAGAGCAGGAGAACTGGGCCAACAGAACCTGGAGAAGTTCTGGTGTCAACTCGGCTCTGGGTCTCCAGGAATCTTCTCCAGTTCTGCCAGGTTCTGCCCAAATGCAGGTCAACCAGTGTACTGAGGTCTAGAACCTGGTCTGGATCCACCTGGTGGATCTGGTCTGCCCNGTCGCGGCGCAGCGACTCGTTCAGGTCCTCCTGGCTGCGGTAGCTGAAGCTCTGGATGGCCTCCGTGACGCCGCGCAGCGAGCTGTAGATCTCCTCGGCGTTCATGTTCTCCGTGTCGTACTCCGTCACGCTGCCGAGCACAGAGGCGGAACGGTCGTAAGAAGATGCAGCTGGAGCAGAAACACGGCCACCGGTCCGCATGCGTGCGCAGTGTTTCTGCTGCCGGTCCGGTCCAAGCGTGCCGACGTGTCGCTGAGCGACGCCTTCTGCAGCGACGCTCAGTGACAAACAGAACAACTGGACTCGGTCTACCTGGGTGAAAAGGCTCGGCGCAGGGCCCTGAGGCCGGGGGCGGCGGGGACGCACTGAGGCAGGAGGGTAGCAGGGGGCGCAGCGGGGAGCAGCCCGTCGACCCCCCAACCCCACAAACGACTGTAGCAGCAGGAAGGAAGGATGGAGGAGAGGAGGAAACCAACGAGAGGAGGCAGGGCAAGGACGGAGAGAGAGGAGAGGCAAAAAGAGTCTGAGCTGAGAGGTTCAGGTTAGAGGACAGATCTGCTTCCTGCTGACGGATCCAGAGGTTCTGACTAGTGGCATGCCGATCGATCGGCCACCGATCATAATCGTCCGATTTCCGTGAAAAGGTGTATGATTGGTGATCGCCGATCACCTGCATCTCAGACTTTGTGCCCTGCAG